TACAAAATAAATTCCTTTTTTGTGTCAATTTAAAAGAAATTACTTGGGGTGTCCTCAAACTTTTCAACTGTAGCGTGTTTGTATATATATATATATATATATATATATATATATATATATATATGCTACACAAATGTTAGGGAGATTTTAGGTGTGAAATGGCGTCTTTAGTCAAACAGATATTTAAAATTATATTCTTTTATTTCCTGGTGGAGTGACTTCAAATATGGCGACACACGTGAAATACTGGTTAACTTGACAGTTTAACAAATTGATTGATCTCCTCAAATTTTGTGACATTTTCATTTCTTTCGCACCATACAACTTAGTAGAAGGGATCCAAAAATAAATTTTGATATTTGCTTATTTTGTAAGATGGGAAGTCGGTCGATCTGAGAGGCTTTCAACATTTTTAGAACTTTATTTTTATTAATTGTTAACACTGTTTCTCTTGCACAAGCCACAAGAATTCATCGATTCCCTCCGTTGCTGAATAAACCACTGTTGCACGAATCTTTAAAAGAAAACTGAATTAAAAAATCTGAATATGGAAATTAGTTACCCCCGTTAAATAAGAATTTCTCACTTGGCTAAAAAATCACAGTAATATATTCAAGCTTTATTCACACTACACCCCGGTCTTTTAAACGGGACAAGAGGTTTATTCCTTGTTTCCTGTTTAGGTTTCCGGTTCATCCATTTGCACAAATTTGTCAAATAAATTCAACGCTGCTTTTCTCTGTACACCTTGTCTTTGGTGTGTCTTCCATTAATATAGTATTAAATTCCCTCGTTATGTTTCCTGAATGCCATTAAAGGTTCCTTTGTCATTGTCTCCTTACAACTTCATCATTTGTCACATGGTCTGTCCCTGGTATTCTCAGCATTCCTTAGATCGTGAATAATCTACCAACAAACCAACAGTAAAAATACCACCAACAACACAAATAATGATAAGAGATGTAATGACCGATTTGACACTAAGGACCCTTTCTAAGCTTGTCAAGAGAAAAACTTAAATCGACGGATAAACGAATCAGGAAATTACACATATATATGATGTCGACTGAGTATATGTAGAAAGAAAGAGAATGAAGATTTATCAGTCTTGAAGAATCTGTTCTTGTTCAAGCTTGTTCTGTTGACTATAATGGAATTTGTAAATTATACCCAGAAGATAAAGAGCCATGATAACTGCCCATAGCAATAAAGTAATTCTTGTTTTATTTTGTTTTTGTTTTTTTGTTTTGTTTTTGTTTTTTTTGTTTTGTTTTGTTTTGTTTTTTTTTTGTTTTTTTTTTGTCATTTCAATTGATGCAAGGCGATATTGCCTCTAAGACGCAAGGGGCGACTAGGAGTGAAAGAAAATGAGGAAACTTTAGAACCGGAAGTCCAATCCTAAACAAAAAACAATGGATAAAACAGAATCATTGGGGAAAATCTCTACAGACAATTTCAAAGAAAAGACCTGAACAAGGTTACGCAGAGGAGTGGCTCAATAAAAAAATGGGAACTGCTATTAGCGCACCCCAGGATAAATATTGTTAATCCTGTAGTCAGCTTGTAGAACATAGGGACACATCCTCGCCACGATAGATGACGCAGTGGTTTCTGTAGCAAGTTGGTTTTTATAGGATGGGATTTACAGTAGAATTGAGAGTTGTCCTTTTCCTCGACTACTGGCCAACTAATGTTGGATATCCAAGTCTGCGCTACTATTACCCCATAATAGCCGGATGGCTATAGAGATGGATTCATACCTTTTCCAAGGATATTTGTGCAAATGCAACAGCGTTGGTCAAATTTAAATTCGAGACGACAATCCTACTTTCGGCGCTGATAACATTCAAACTAAGAGCACCTTCCGAATTTTCTTATTCTGTAAGATTTTGGGAAGTCGAGCCGAGAGACTTGCAACATTTTTGGAACTTTATTTTTATTAATTCTTAACACAAACCAGAAGAATTCATCGATTCCGTCCATTACTGAATATTTCACTGTTTCACGAATCTTTAAAAGAAAACTGAATTAAAAACATCTGAATATGGAAATTAGTTACCCCCGTTAAACAAGAACATCTCACTTGGCTAAAAAATCACAGTAATATATTCAAGCTTTATTCACACTACTCCCCGGTCTTTTTAGAGGTTTATTCCTTGTTTCCTGTTTAGGTTTCCGGTTCATCCATTTGTATATGAGTGCTAATTATATCAAGTCAAAAATCAATAAAACGCTGATGAGCAAATGTTATTTTTTCTGATGAAAATGGGAAAACGTGCTGTAGGATAATGCTATAAAGCGAATATAAAGAAGACAATGACAGGGTATATACATTGGGAATTGTGCAAACGCCTTGGGTTCAACCATATGAACAAATAGTATTAGCAGAAACGGAAAACTGTCAAAAAAAAAACGAAAATACACTGACATTTTGAGATCTAGTCCAATAATCCCGTTCAAGCAATAAGATCAGAACTGGATGCTGAAAAAGAACATCAGA